GTCATGGGGCCACAGTGCTTTCCCAAGAGAGAAAGGCACTGCAAAAGGAGAACTCCACGATGAGCAATCACTTTAGTAACACTACAGTTATTATTTACAATAGTAAAGATATCAGAGTGTTGAATTCCACTGAAGAGTATTACTCATGCTATTGTGAGCTTTGTCACCAACACTCACCCAGCCACGGGTCCCGTGGGGTTTTTTTTAAGCAAAAACCAGTTCTAAGTTCTCATGGCATTCAATCTCAGTCTTTTCTATGGGCAGCAGATTGAAGTGTTGGGCTTTGAAAGCTTTTAATTTAGCACCAGCAAGGGGAAGCTGGGACTGAAACTAAGAATAAGTGGGCTGACATATATAAAGGTGTAAAAGTTGCCTGCCAGGGCAGAGCTCTGCACTCACCCTTTGCCCAGCAGTAGGTGAAGGGGGGCTCTGCTGTCTGAACCCCAGTGTCCCTCACAGTCACTCGGTGCCCCCGTTTGTGCTGCTCCCGGGTCCCCACGGGGGACGAGGCTGAGGACGGGTGTTCTCCAGAGTGTCCCTCTGACACTCTGGGCACAGATTCCCTGTCTGTTGTAGACAGAGACCTTTCAAAGTCTTCAGAATATTCTGAATTAAGAGTCCTCTCATCCTGATCAAGATAATCCTGTTTGTGTCCAGGGGGATCTGTGGAAACTCCACTTAAATGCTCAGAGATTTCTGCTTCAGTGACACTTTTTTCAGCATCCCCACCATTCACACCAGTTGCTGCATTGGTTGTTTTAGGAGAAGCTTGGTCCTCTTCCACCATCACGTATTTGTTTGATTCTTGAGTCATTTCAATGTCTTTCCCCTGTAAAATGATTTATTTTAGAACCTCCACCCAACAGAGGCAGACTGGGAATAGGTGTTAGTAGGGAATTCCTACTCACACTCTGCTTTAATTCTGCTGCCTCACTGGTGATGTCTGGGGCCAAATCATCAAGGCTCAGGATATTCAGTCTGAAGTCTGCAATCAAATGACACATTGACATGAGAATTTGCATGAAAGTTACAGTACACTTCCCCTTAAATGAGAAAAGAGGGAAAAAATCAGTACAACCTTCCTAGTTTAAAGTGTAATACTAAAAGGTAATAGCAATCTAGCAATAGCAACTCTAAATCTTTAATTTGGCAGAAACTCCTCCTAAATTTCCTCCTTTGGTCTGCTGCCTCAAGTTCAAGAGATTTTTTGCTGCCCCTCATTTCCAGCTGTTCTCACTCTGACCCATTGGTACTTTGTCCCATTGATACATGAAAACTATTCTAAATATTGTACTAGTTTTGATATCATAACATCACCCAGGGCAGCAGCACTAACCTGAACCCAACCTAAGTCAAAAGCAAAGGAAAATACAAACCTATTACACCAGAAAAAAAGAAACAGATCTACATAATTACTTTGATAAGGCCTTGGTTTATGTAAAATTTAATCAGTGAATCCTTTCAAAGTGATTATTTGCCCAGTTTATTAGTGAATTTATCAGATTATCAGAACAATTCATGCCAGCTCTTCTTGAGACCGTATTTTAGAAAACTCACCACCTGAGCTGCTGCTGGTTGGATCTTCTGCATCATCTGCATTTGAGAATAACTCATCTAATGATTTTATTTCACTTCTGTCACTTCTAAGGGATTCTTGGCTTTGTTTGGTGTAGCCTGGTTTAGGCAGAGCAATCTTTACAGTATTGTCTTTCATGGAAGAGCTCGTGGTATGTCCTGACAGGTTTCTGCTGGTGGGTGAAGGTGCTGGTGAATTAACTCTACTAAAAACACTTTTCTGTGAGTCTTTGTTGTGAAAAGAAGATGCTTTAGGTAACTCTGTTGGTGCAATTTCCTTATGAGACAGAGGAGGCCTTCCTGGTGGAACTGGAGTCTTGTTCTTTTGAAAAACATGAAAAACAGATTTAAGTGTTACTTCATTATTATGTTTAGAGTGCTAAAAAGGAACACAAATCATTATGGGTAAAATAAGAGCAGTTTGAGATGTTGCTTTAAGATGTTAAGAAGTGAAGCTGAATCCTATCATGAGCAAGCCACAAATGCAAATTTAAAATTTAGCATCTGGTGTTATCTAAATAAAAAGTGACCAACTAATTAAAACAATTCTATAAAAGTGTTTATGGAAATACATAATCTAGCAAAGTTTGTATTTACCTTTCCATCCAGAACAACCTTCTGATTCCCATTTCCACTGGAAAACCCCAAGGAGTTTGTCATTTCCTCTCCATCACTATCCAGATCCAGCTGTTGTTTAACCATAACGCTCTTTTTAGGGCTTTGGATGCTTTCCTCTCCCTCAGAACTGGCATCCCTGCGGGTCCCGCTCTCCCTGGTGGCACCATAATTCTTCAGGTACTTCTTGCCCCTGGCACCGTGTTCATGCCCTGAGGCAGAGGAGGAGGAGGACTCTTCTCCCAGAGGCTTCAGGCCCGGGTCAGTGTTCTGCGATTCCAGCTGCTTTTTCCGACTCATGATCTTGCTTTCCAGTTGAGCCACTTTGCTCAGGACTGAGCTGGACCGTGTGTGGGCTCCCTGGGCATTCCCTGCCCTGGCGGTGCTTCCCGGCGTCGGGCACCGCCGGCTCCCCCCGGCCATTCCATCGCGCACCTTCAGGAACCTGCCCTGGCACGACGGGGCTCTCCCGGCCATCTCCAGCTCCGTGTCCACCACCCCGAGCCCGGCCGGGATGGTCCTGCTGTGTCCCTGCCGAGAACCCCAGAATCGCCGAGGTTGGAAAAGCCCCCCCGGATCATCGAGTCCCCCCGTTGCCCGACCCCCACCTTGTCCCCCAGCCCAGAGCACTGAGTGCCACGTCCAGTCCTTCCTTGGACACCTCTAGTGGCGGGGACTCCAAACCTCGCTGGGCAGCCCCTTCCAACGCCTGACCACCCTTTCCTGGAAAAAATTCCTCCTGATGTCCAACCTGACCCTTCCTTGGCACAGCTGATTCCTCTTGATTTCTCCCTGGGAGCAGAGCCCGACGCCCCTCCCCGGGTCCGCCCTCCTGTCCGGGAGCTGCAGAAAGGGGGTTGTACAGATCCCTCCCCTCACGGCCCAGGAACGGACCGAGCTGAGGCACCGGCGCCTCACCTGCCCTCGGCCCGCGGGGGCCCGAGCGATCGCGGCCATCCCGGACGGGACGGCACGGGACGGGGACGGGATAGGATAAGGCGGGATGGGATGAGATGGGATGGATTGGGACGGGGATGGAATGGGACGGGACGGGGATGGAAGGGGATGGAATGGAATGGGACGGGACCGCCAGGCCTGAGGCAGCGGCGGCTCCTCCAGACCTAGGCCAGAGCGGGCGGCGCGCGGCCGTATCCTAGAGACCGCGACTCCCCAACATCCCGTCCGCTCATTGGCTCCACGCACCCCACCAGCCAATCCCAAGCAGTTTTACTGCCGCCCGCCCCGGACGCTCAGACTGCAATTCCCAGCATGCCGCGAGGTCGATAAATCGGGATTTATCCAAACCTCCTGATGTGGGAATTAATCCAGTTGTTCTGCAGGATTTGTGTTAGTACCTGCCCTTTATGTGCTTGTGTGTCATTTCTAGAGACTTGGGGAAGTTTGTAATTTGTGTGTCACCGTGACATTTGGCACTCTTATCTAATTATAGAGTTGTAATAAAAGGATAGTTATGCAGCTTGTGCCATGGATTGTTTTTATTTTGTCTGGATATTTTGTTTTCTGGCTTAGTTTTCTAGTACTTTATAGTACTGCAATTCTGCTGCAAGGCAGGTTTTAAGACTTATGTTTAAGATCCTTAAAAACTTTCACTTGCCTTCTTTAAAACCCTAGTTAACAGATATACACAGTTCTCATTATATACTTTGATTATATACTTTGAATATAAGGCCAGATCAGACTTAGAAGCTGATAATGAAATGCATCTGGCAACCTACAAGATGGTTTAGATCCAATTAATGATCCAATAGTGAGGAAACCCCCTGACTGGGATAATTGAATCCAAATTGATGATCCAAAAGACATCAAACCTGGTGTAATTTGCTTTCCTTGTTCTGCATTAGTGGATTATTTAATTTCTACTTGATACAGTGGAACTGGGGTTTTGCTTTCTTAATCTCCCTGTGTCTTTTAAAGAATTGGGATGACCCTGAATCCATGAGGAACCTGAATTTTGGACTGAAGCTTGGAATGAAGAAGGGCATTATCCTGTTGTAAGACTCCTCTATACATGTATAAATAATTTCCTAACCCTACTAGGGGAACACTTCGAGCCACTTTCTCTGCCTGACTGTATTCAGAACATGTGATTCATCCCAGGGGGAAGGAAACAAGGCACTTTGATAATCTGAGGATGCAAGAAAACAGATTTCCTGGGTTTTTTTCTGGGTGTTTTTTTTTTCCCCCATATTCCTTCAAAGGAGAGAACTGCTACAATTTTTGGCAACTTCTTGCTAAAAGATGCTGAGGTTTATTCAGAAGACTTTGGAGATGAAAGATGGGAAGAAACGAAGGTAAAATGAAATTCCTGTGGCTGTTTTGGTTCTTTATTCCACGTTTTAAAGATCTCCTGTCTGTTCTGGTTGAGAAACAATTGGGGCATAAAAATGAAATTTTAAACACAGGGTCCTGAAAAAGGAATTGAAGGTAAAGCAGACTGAGGAAGAGCAGGAGAGAGAGGGTTACAGGAGAAAATACTTTGAGCAGTGGTTTGAGAAAAAAAACTAGAGAGCAAAGAGGACTCTGGAAGGCACAGAACAGCCAGGAACACTATCAAGAAGGAAGAGCTTTAATTGTTATTTGAAAGAAGTTCACATTTTTTTCCACTTACATCACTTAAGGATGGTGGTATTCTGTTAACAGCTTGTGGAAATCTGCACCAATGGAACTGTGTTAAGAAAGGGTTTTTTTTTTTAAATGCAACATTAGATTTTGTGACAAGTTTCAGTTATTTTTAGTAGAGATACCATAACATAGTTAAATTCTCTATAGAAAAGGTTGGGGGTGGGTAATTTACTTTTAAAATTAATGTTATTAACTTTTAATAATTTTTATTTAATCTTAACACTGCTAAAATGTGTTAAAAACACCTGTAACAAAGCACAAGGTTTTGGAACTGTTGTACACTTCCATGGTTTAGTGTTAAATGTTAAATTAAGGCTCATTTTTGAGGAAATATCACCACAGTTTCAATAAAGGGTTCAGATTCAGCAGCATGTCTCACAACACACTTGAAACCAAGCAGGAGATAAGCTTTGCTAAGCTCCTGCAGCAACTGTGCACCTGTCAGAGTTTCAGAGCTTAGATCTGCCAGTGGAACATTCCAGCTCTGCCTTGGTGTGTGTGACAGCAGCCTGTCCATCCACAGATCTGCCCTTAGAAGTTTCAATGTTTTCAGATGAGGTTTTTTCCCTTTCAAAGTTCTAAAATGGACATACAGAGTGCCTGCATGCTGTCTTACATATTATTTTTTTTTTTTTCTAATGGGGCAAGAGAAGTTAATTGGAAACAATGAATGATGTGCCTGTTCTTCTGTCTGACCTGTCTTGGACCTCAACCTTGTAATTTTTTCAGTCACTTCCTTCGTCCCTTCTCAGTTCCTTCTGCTCTTCTGCATTTCCTTCCTCCCCCAAGAACTAATGCTGCAAATTTAGCAAAAACTGAAGGCAAACTTGAGAGCCCAGGGCCCTGCATTTACCTCTAGACACTGGCTGAGGGAGTTCTGTGTGGTGAGGAGAGAGGGAGTAGGAGGATCCCTGGAAGCCCCAGCTCCAGCTGGGCCACTTTGTAGCCTGTGCAGTGACTGAGGTCAAATTCTTCTGCTTCTGCTTGTCCAAGAGCTGTAAAACAATTCCAGTTAAGAACTTTGAAAGCTCTGAGATACACTGCAACAACACCCACCCTATACCTTTTTTTTCCCAAAAGAATTCCTGTAGATTTAGTTTTTATGTGGCCACAGTGATCAGGCTGCTGTTCAGGATTTACACACTGCACTCAGGGGGTTGTTAACTTTGGTGTATTTAATGCCAAAACATTTGATCCTAGGCCAGAAGCAGCTTCATTGGGTGAAAGGACCTTCACTGAGTGAAGGACTTTTGTTGGGTGAAGGCTGCTTTGGCAAGTTTTAGGGTAATGAAGTAACATAAGTGGGTTTGCCCAGGAGAAAGCTGGATGCAGGTCATCCAGGTAAAGGTCGATCAGTGCCTTGGATAGAAGGACATTCCAAGGGCACCCACAGCCCTCCCTGGCCCTGCTTTGCCCACATGGCTGAGGCAGCTGGCAGAGTGCCCTGGGAGTGGAGACATTAGGAAGAATTTCTTCACAGAAAGGGTGATTAGACACTGGAATGGACTGTATAAATATCTGCAGGGAGGTGTCAGAGGATGGACCAGGCTCTGCTCGGTGGTGCAAAGCAACGGGACAAGAGTTAACAGGGAGAAAATGATGCCCAGGGAGTTCCACCTGAACATGAGGAAGAACCTCTGAACTGTGCACAGGAAAGGGCTGCCCAGAGAGGGCGTGGAGTCTCCCTCACTGAAGACATTCCAGAGGACACAATCCTGTGCCACGTGCTCTGGGATGAGCAGGGAGGTGGGACCAGATGACCCGCTGTGGTCCTTCCAACCTGACCCATCCCGAGATTCTGTGATTCTGTAACGAAGTAAAACAACCGTGTTTGTCCAGGAGAAAGCTGGATGCAGGTCAGCAGGTAAAGGTCGATCAGTGCCTTGACTCATTACCTGGAAGAACATTCCACGGGGCACTCACAGCCCTCCCTGGCTCTACTTCGTCAACACCTTTCGTAGGTCACCACCAGCTCTGCCTGAGGCAGCTGGCAGAGAGCCCTGGGAGTGCAGACATTAGGAAGAATTTCTTCACAGAAAGGGTGATTAGACTCTGAAATGGACTGTATAAATACCTAAAGATTGGTGTCAGAGGACGGACCAGGCTCTGCTCTGTGGTGCTGAGCAATAAGACAAGACTCAGTGTGCAGAAACTGATGCCCAGGGAGCTCCACCTGAACACGGGGAAGAACCTCTGAACTGTGCACTGGAATTGATTGCCCAGAGACTGTGTGGAGTCTCCCTCACTGGAGATATTCCAAAGGACAACAACCCTGTGCCGCGCGGTCAGGGATGGGCACGAAGATGGGATCAAGTGGTCCCTTCCAACCTGGCCCATCCTGTGACTCAGTGATCCTGTGAGTGCCCAGGCAGGTTTGCACTCACCATCCCTGGAGGTGCCCAAGGAACGCCCGGACGTGGCACGCAGTGACAGGAGTGCCAGGGAGCGTCACTCCCTGACAAGGCGGCGATCGCCCGCAGGTCGGACCTACGATGACCTCAGCGGCCGTTCCCAACCCGACCGATCCCGCGGGCGGGAAGCGCCTGCCGGGCCGCGATAACGGACCCCGCTGAAGCCGCAGCGGGTCTCGGCTCCCCCTCAGCCGCCGCCGCCGCCCCGGGGCCGCCCGGCCCGGCCCGGCCGAGCCACCGCCTCCCGCCCCTCGCCCCGCCCCGGCCGCGGCCCGACCCAGCGGGAGGAAGATGGCGGCGCTCATCCCCCTCAGCCAGCAGGTACCGGCCCGCGGCGCGGCGGCGGCACCCGCGGCCCTCAGCTCAGCCCCGCCGGGCGGCCGAGGGGAGCGGCACCGGGTCCTGCCCGCGGGCGGGGAGGCCGGGCCGGGCCGCCGCTGGGTGCAGGGCCCTGTGCCCGGGAGGGGCTCGGCCTGAGGGGGGAGAGAGGGTCGGGGCGCGGCGGGGAGCGGGACCCGGGCGGGGTGGGGCGGGCGAGCGGCCCCCGCGGTGTCCCCGGGGCTCGGCGGGGCCGGGCTGGGGGGAAGCAAAGGCGTTCTCCCCTCATGGAGGGCCTGGAGCTGCGCCCGTGGGGAGGGGAGGGGAAAGGAGGGAACGGGGGGCTCCGGGCGCTCCCCCTCGCCGAGGTGCCGCCCGGGAGCCGCGGGGGTTATTGAGGGCCGGGGATGGGGCTCCGACCTGGGGCGAGTCACCCCCTTGTCCCGCTGGTACCCTGAGCTGCCGGGCTGTCGTGACACGGTGTCGTGACAGGGTGTCGTGCCTGACAGGCTGTCGGGATGTTCGGGAGCGCGGGGACACCGGGAAAGGGCTGCGGGGCGAGCGGGAGGCGTTTGCTCGCCCATCCAGCAGCAAGTGAGGAACAGGCACATTCCCTGACCCTTGGGAGAGGGTGACAAGGCTCTGGGAGAGGCTCTTTCCAGCTCTCTTTGGATGCTTGGGGTCCCCGCGCTGATTTTTGTTGTTACAAGTTTTTTTGGTGTGTTTTCTTTTTTTTTTTTTTTTTTTTTTTTTAGTCTGTTTGGTTTTTTAAAATTAATTTCTCACCCAAATAATTCCAACCGAAGCAGTGTGATCGCTGTTTATTCTTTTCCATACCCCTGGGAATAGAGTTGGTTTACTTATTTCCTTTTTCAAGCAATGCCACCCTCAATGCCTTGAAATTAAAACTATTTTCTACGCTCTACCAGGCCAGTCAGGAATTCAGAACAACTGCTCTTAGTAGTTCAGATTATTTAAATACATCAATTTCCTTTTAATAATCACCTTTTATTTGAGATACTTTGAAAATTTATCTCTCAGTGGAGTAATGTGATGCTTGGATAATGTGTAATTTGCTGTGAGTCTTACTAAGAGTGGGCACTGCTTTTGAGCTTCTGAATAGCAGGAGTCCTGATGAACATCTGCTTAATTAAATGAACGTGTTCAGAAACATCTGAAAACATCCATGCACACACAAACCGCTGTCAGGAGTTTCCAAGTGGCATAATGTGGTGCAAAATATGTAAGTAAAATAAACTCTGAATGTGCATTTTTAATAGTACATTGGTAAAAATGAAATCATTATCAAATATTTACACTGAAAATTCAGTTTCTGTGTTGTTTAAATTCTCGTCGATATTTGAGGGTCTGGCATCAGTGGTGTTTCCTTTGATATAACCTGTCATGTTTAGGGTGAAAAGGGCCACATTCTGTGAACATATCAGTTATTTTGACATTATTTTCCAGTGAATTCAATGGAAGCATTCTAATTTTAAACTTCTTTTTCTGTATTGAACTGTCAAGAGTAGTCTAGCTGTTACAGGGCAGTAAACAGAATTTCCCTTAATGAACTAAAAGAGGAAATTAATAAACTTCGTCTTTGAATAGCCTCAGTTTAGTGATTACTAAGGAGATGTGTGCTGGTTACTGTAAATGCCAGAAATTGAATTAGAAGGAATTGGAGAGGGCACATGTGCTGTATGTTGAAGTATGTCCAGGCAGAAAGATGTAAAATGAGAATGTTGATTTCGGCATGTTGGGAGCTATAAACAATATGGGTAATTCGAGCTTGTGAAAGTGTTTAATCATATTTTGTCATTAATAATTTATCATATTATCATTTTAGGAAGAGATTCTTGGCTGTGAGGGTGGGGGGGCCCTGGCACAGGTTGCCCTGAGCAGCTGTGGCTGCCCCAGCCCTGGAAGTGTCCAAGGCCAGGTTGGACCAACCTGGTCTGGTGGAAGGTGTCCCTGCCCATGGCAGGGGGTGGAACTGGATGAGCTTTAAGGTCCCTTCCAACCCAAACCATTCTGGGATTCTACACTATTTATATACTATTTAATGTTTCATCTCTCTGTGCATAAACCCAGTTGAAGAGCAAGCCTGTCAGATCAGTTCTTGCAGTTCAGTCCAGTTTCAGTTGTTTATGTTTGATAACTTTGTTTTCTTACATTTGCTCACCTTACCAGTGGTCTGTGCCAAGCACGTTCAACTTGCAGGCTCAGGAGGTTTTGGAGAGTTATCTTAGAGATACTGAGATCCTTTTGTAGCTCAGTTTTCTGAGACAACTCAGGACATTCAGCAAGTAGCATAAGGGCAAAAGTCATCTTTTTGGGGCAGCAGCAGCCTTCTTTGGGCTCCTGTCTTTGTGAACACCTTGTTTTTTCCCCTTTTACACTCCCTGTTTTCATCTCTCCGTGTGGCTGAAAGAAAATTTTTGAAGAGGAAGACACCAAGGAAAATAATTCATCTGATCCAGAGCTCTTTGTGGCCCTGGGATGACCTCAGGAAAGAGAACTGGGTGTGTGAATTGTTCTGGTGGCAGCAGCTTCCCCCTGCCTTTTCCCCAGAGCTGCAGGAAGGGACTCGGATCAGTGTCCATGTGTGTACCACAAATGCAGTGTATGGATCTGCTGTGAGACTTAAACTTCAGATTTGGGAGGTCAAACAACAGGGCACCAGGGCTCTGAAGGATCTTTTTGGGAGCTGGTGTAAAGTGTTGGTCAGAGGTGAGGTTTTGAGGACTACGGAGCAGGCACGGGAACCGTGGGGTGGTTAAACTGTAAGTCAGACTGAACCTCTCTGACAGGTTGTGCTTTGACATCACCAACTGCAAACTCTTCACAGTGTTTGTCTCTGGTTGCCAGGGCTGACAGCCTTGGGCAGGTCCTGCATCAGCAGATGTCACCAAATTGCAGAATCCTCCTGAATGATAGCGGTGTCGTCACGTGTGGTGACGGGTAGATAGAGAGCTGTGCTATTTTTATCACTTGAACCCATTTTGTCTGGTCTGGTTCATCACAGAGGTGCAGTCATTTGGGTAAATCAGCCAGAGAGGCTGGATCCTTGGAAAATTCTGCAAATAGGGGATCGAGGGCTGAAGGGCTTTCCAGCAGCACTTGGGGGAATATTTTCCTGTTGGAGAAACTTCACAGCATGGAAGCCCATCACCCTGGATTCCTGCCACCTCTGTCAGGTAACTCAGCTCCATGTCATGGCTGACAATCCCAAATGAGGGTGACAGGGATGTCTGGTGATGGGATGAGATCATTCAGTGCTGCTGCTGGAGTGGTTTGCTCTGTCTCTTGGTACAAATCCAGTCTCTGCACACTCTGGGTAACTCGTCAAATCAGTTAGAGGAGCTTGTAGTTGGTGTTTGACCCTCTTCTCTGAGCTCTCTGATAAACAAGAGGTACAAAGTTTGGTGATAGTTGGCTAAAACATGCTGGGTTGGATTCAGACTGGGACAGACTATTTCCTACTTCTACCTTTTCTCTGAATGATGTGTTTCCTGCTTGGACAGGAACACAGTGCTTAGCTATGCTGGATGTTTACATGTCAGCAGAAAGAATAGTCAGATTTATGAGTTATGGTCCAGGCATTCTTCTGAAATCCTGTCCACCTTCAGGAAGAGCTGGAGCTTCCAGAGGTTTGCTGACATTAGAGAATGCAGCAGCTTATTTTGTGGATGGGTAGAAGTGAAGCACATTTAAGATCCTTAGGAAACTGTTCTGAAAATGCAGGATTTTTCTATCCAAATAGAGCTGTTAATCCTCAAAGAGTCAGTGTTTGCTTGTGCTCAGTTGGAGGGTTTAGTTATTTCAGATAGCTCCTTACACTTAATATTCGTCATGTTTATTGTAAATTCACAGCAAGGTTCTCTTGGTGTCAAATAAAATTTTATTGGCCTTTTCTTTTGTCATGTTTCTGCCTTCCTTCCACTCAGAGTGGGCAGAACATCTGGAAAATCATAGGGATGACAAGGAAGCAGGTGGCATTTGGGAGGTGACATCCCAGTGATGGGAGTTAGTGGGAAATACTCCTTTGTCAGGTGTCTGACTGGTGGCCTGGAGGTGCAGAGTGGTTGTCTCAGGCAGGCTTTGGGGTGTTGTGACATCTCAGCATTTTGCTTATTAAACTGTTTGTGGGGTTGTGGTTTTGTTGATTGTTCTTTAAGGCCTTTAACTTGTTTTGCCTGGGTTGGTTTTGCTGTTGGCATCGAGGCTGGAGAACAGTGTGGAGGGATAACCTGCATGTGAACTCCTGGGGCTGTTGGAGGAGGCAAGTGAGAAGATGGGTTTGGGGGATTCTGCCTCTTTTGGCATTTCAATTCCCATCTGCTTGGAATGTCAGCAAGAATGTCAACAATCTACTTGTTCAGCCCCCTGGAAAGGCAGGGCCTCCCTTGGGTCTGCTGCTCTGGTATGATGTGGTTTGAAATCCCCCAACAGCGTTGTCAGGGAATTGTGGCGTTGTCAGTTCACTCTTCTTTCTGTTTATTTTTTGTTTTACTCCGTTTCAGTTTAAGATCCTAGTCCTGAAAACGCATAATCACAGGCACAGGGCTGTGTGTGTGTGTGTGTATAATTGCCTGCTGAAAACATTCCATAAGGATATTTACAGTGCAGGGGGGACTCAGGTCAGCATTGGGTTCAAAACTGGGCCTTTGTTATCAGCAGTTCTCATACTGAGATCTGAAGTACTTTGGCAAATAGTTCAGAGCTGTTCTACAAAAACCTTATTTCCATGTAGTTGTTGATTAAAAGTGTGAGTAGAAGTTGGAATGCTGGTCAAGGAGAAGTTCTAGGGGGTGACAGGAGCCTGTTGGCTGCAGGTTTTGTGGGATCACCATTATCCACACTTAAATTTCAAGTCTCTGGTTTGGATGACAGCAAACTAACACCCTATTTTAGATTTTTTTGTTGAAGGAATACACAAGGTGCAATACCTTTTTCCTGTCAGTTGTGATTGCTGTTCATTCTGGTTTCTTCCTTATGTTTCAGTTTTCTACTGGGAACCCAATATACGAAACTTACTACAAACAGGTACGTTCTTAAAAGAAGAAAAGCAAAAATAAAGTGCAGTTTCCTCTT